ATCCCATTGGTATCTAGTAGGACCAAATAATTCAATAGGAGTAGCTGCAGAACCATACCACATAGTTCCAGATACTATAAAAGCTGCAAAAAACACTGCTGCTATGCTACTTGACAAGACAGTTTCTACATTTCCCATACGTAAAGCTTTATATAACCTTTGAGGAGGTCGAACACTTAAATGGAACAAACCAGCCAATATTCCTAAAATTCCTGCTGCAATATGATGAGATGCAATGCCACCAGGATTAAAAGGATCGAAGCCTTCAGCTCCCCAAGCAGGGGATACTGATTGAACTTTTCCAGTAATTCCATATGGGTCTGAAATCCATATACCAGGACCAAATAATCCAGTTACATGAAAAGCACCGAACCCAAAGCATAATAAACCTGACCCCCGCCCCCACTCCCAGCCATCCCCGACCCCGGACCCCGCTCAGCCCCGCCCCGACCCCGCGCCCAGGGCCACCCCGGGCTCACCAGGGGTGGGTGTAGCCCCGGGGGGGGCCCGAGGTGGGGCCAAAACTGCATTTTTGCACTTCGGCCCAGAGGGTGCAGGCTGACGTTGCGCACCCCCCTGTATTTTTTCTTTTGTTGATTTTTTTTTTGATTTTTTTTGGATTTTTTTTGGGGGTGGAGGTCCGGAGCCGGGGTCAGGGGTGCCCACCCCCGGAGCCCCGCACCCCCGCCGGGGCCCCAGGGCCGGGGCTTGACACTCACTTACTTTCGACTCAAACCTTGAGCATCTCACTTGCAATGACGATCCCGGCCGTCACGTGCCAGTTCAACCATAGTGATCGTCACCCCGCCGACTTAGCCTCGGCACGGCCCTACTCGGATCCTACAGTCCGTCAGGTGATCCAGTATACCGAGCGTTCAGACTACAGCTAGCTCCTCGGGACTTTTCGACACGCACCTTCCTTCATACCATCTAGCCACGGCTTCCCGGAAGCGGCCTGATGAGTCGAGAGAGAGATTTTCGGGAGCGCTTGCAGAATTTATAACTGCGGAAAAGAAGATAGATGCTAGGAAGGGTTATGACTGAGACAGGGAGGAGTAGGGGAGGGCTCATGGATTGCCCGACGAAAGCTATGTCGATCCTTTGGATCGCAGCTGCAGCCAATCAGAATCATCGTGTATCAGGAATTTCCTTCTTACACGGCGCGTTTCCTTGACTAAGGGAAGTGAAAGGGGGTCGACGGGGTATTTCAGCGCGGGGATTAGAGCGGGAAGAAGAAGAGCGAGAAAAATAGTGTGAAACAAAACCAAGATTCAGATGATCAAGAAGAAGAGAAAAGGCGCGCAAGGTCGAGAGAGAGATGGAAAACGGTTACAGAGAGAGAACTTCAAGGAGTGTGAGCGCGAAGAGGAGAGTGTCGAAGGCAGCGTGGGAAGCGGGGAGGGGAGACTAGCATGCATGGCGCCGACGCGGAGGCAAAAAGGGAACCAAAATAATTACAGCTATTTCAAATTGAAAAGTACCATATCCGCACGGTATAGCTGGCACGGGAGAAAAATCCTATGCCTATTCAGATTCCTACGAAAGTTCCTAGAGATTTCCAAGACGAGGTTGAGAACATTCAAGCGCAAGAAAGGACATGTCAAATTCTGCTTATTTCGAAATTCCTAACTGTCATCCCAAATTCCTAGCGCGCTCGCTAAGACGCGCGTAATTCCCGACTTTGTAAAGACAAATTTTCAAAATTTGATCCAAGGGTCCCACATATTACATTCATTAAAATACAAAAAGAGGCCTCGTCGGATGGTCACCCAAAATTTCGACAAAGAGAAAAAGAGAGGCGGGGAGGGGAGGGGGGAATGGAAGATGGCGCAGGTCCAGGAACTAGCGCGTCACACGCGTGCGCCTCGCCGTCATCTCCACCCTCTGTTATGGTCGCCCTCCTCCTCCTCCTCTCTCTCTCTCTCTCTCTCTCTCTCTCTCTCTCTCTCTCTCTCTCTCTCTCTCTCTCTCTCGCCGTCGTCGTCATGATGTCCGTTATAGTCGTCGTCGT